ACTTTGGTCTGAAAAAAATTTATGATCTTATGAAAGTAAGACAGTAGAGATATTTCTTCGTGGAACAAATTTCAAGTGCTTTCTGTGATGAGAATCCCTTTTGGACATGGACCTTCACCTTTTCCCTCTACACCATTGGAGTCTGTCTGGTACACAGCACTCAATAAATGTTTGTTTATGGAAATGTAATGTCACTGGGACAAGCCAGCTGTCTGTCATGCTGGTAAGGACTCGTGGGGCAATGTTGTTGTTGTTTTAGGTTAAAGCTTATTTKTTTGTCTATTTATTTATTTATTGGTTCTTTTTAGTTAAACATGATAGTAGAATGCATTTTGATATAATTTTAATAAGCATGGACTATATCTTATTCTAGTTAGGATCTCATTTGTGTGGATGTACATGATGGTGGGATTCACTGTGATGTTCTCATATGTGTATACAGGAAAATATCTTTTTTTTAATGGGGCCACCACAATCCAAGAATAGGGCCTTAGATTTGCATGTCCAGAAACTCATTGTCATTAGCATACTTCAGTGTGATTTGAGTTTCTTGTTTATATTTTTTAATCATTTTTTTATTTGTTTTAACTAGTTATACATAACAGTAGAATTCTTGTTTATATTTTAATGCAACTAAATCTCAGTATCTCAGATTTGACACTTCTYTTTTTTCCACTAAATCATTGAAATATATTCACCCAATCATTCACATCAGAGATGTAAATGGATTTTCTCAAAGTATTTCAGGAGACAAGGAAAGCCATCACTTTGTGACTTGACTGCTTCAGGTGTTGCCGTCCAAAAGCTTTACATGCCATCCCCGATGCAAGGATGCTAAAAACTATGTCTTGACCTTGCAACTGCAAGGAAGGCTAACATYTTTTGCTAGAAGTGCTCTTCCACCACATATTTTGAGGGTTTTTCCCCCCATTTGTGTAGAATTCTCTTAGGAAAGTGGAAGGAGAATAAATTAAACTGAGACTTTTTTTGGCGGGGGGAGGTGGTGCTGGAGATCAAACCCAGGGCCTTGTATATGAAAAGCAAACAATCTACCAATTGAGCTATATCCCCAGCCCTAAACTGAGCCTTTTATTGACCAATAGAAAATAAAATCTTGATTTGAATTTCCCACTTTTAATGATTATTGCTGTCACAGTTTAAATTTTTATTTCATCCTTTTTAACATTGATATTTGCAAAAACTTGATTTTAAAAAAATGTGTATCATCCCTATCACACAATGGCCTATTTCTTAATTTGTTGCATGTCATCACAAAGACATACTGAMTCTAAGCTCATCTCAGATTTACTCTTAAAATATAATGCTAAAGAAATAGCTTCATATTGCAAAGATTTTATGTACACCATTCAGAAGTCACAGACCCTGGAGCCAAAGAGTTAGAGGCTCAGTACCTGGCATTGCCACCTCCCACATCACCCAGCGTCTCTAAGGCTCACTAGGTAAGCCTAGTGTTTGAGGATAATAATAGTACCCACTGTGTAGGGTTGCTGTGAGGATGACATACAGTAGCATGCACAAAGCCCTGTATCTGACATAATTACTTTATAAGTATTAGCTATTGTTATTTTAATAATAGTTATGATGACTTCACCAAAACCTAATTATGGTGCCCTTGTCAGAGTTAGTGGCATCATGGCTGACTCATTTCCTGATACAACTGAAAAGTACATTTCAGCATTATATAATAATTCAGTTTAATTAATAGACTTGGACATCCATTCTTGAAAAAAGAATGAGGAGTATTTAACTCACAATTAGAAAATACATTCTACTTAGTAACATATTTTAGAAATAAATATTATAAGTCCTTGGAAGAGCTGCAAAKAAACTATTGTGTGTTGGTGACTGTAGATATTTAAAGTGTTCATGCTGAGAAACCTGCAGATAACTGTGCACTGCTTTCCAGAAATGAAGGCATCTCTAAGAATCTGTTGTCAACTTGAGACAAAGATCATATGGAAACTAATCACTACATGCATGTTAAGAATAGAACTCTGTAGAAAACCATACTGGTAGCTGTGATCTGCTTCCCAGTGACCAGTGGTATAATGGAGTCAGCTCAAGATTTAGAGTTTGCTCAGGCTGGCTCAAGTACAGGATTTGCCATTTATTTTCTGTGTGGCCTTGGGTTTGGTTGCTTGGCTTTTCAAAGCCTGTTTCCTTGTGTATAAAATGGAGCTGGTATGTAACCTAAATCCTTCAATAGGGAATGGTCAATTCTTCAAATATACTTGACAACACTGAAGTAAGATACCATTATTAATAGTACTAGTATTATTACTAATACAATTATCATTCCATTAACAAAATGAATATCCAGAAGAACATGTGTCCCCATGTGTGACATGAATTCCTCCAATACAAGACAAATGTCCAGAATGGTCACAGTGCTCACTTTCTTGTTAGGTAAAAAATCTTATTCTATCATAACTCTTGTTATTTCTTAGAAGTGTTATTAGTGCTATTGGTATTTCATAATTAACATTAATTCAAGTTTTCAGTTTCTTTTACCTGCATTTAGGTGAACTGATAGATAAAGAGAAAACCAGGTTAGGATATAAGCCAAGTCACATCCGTTCTCCATATACTAAATTGTTTACCAACTCATTATACCCTCACTTTAAATAATCCACAAATTTCCTATTGTTAGTAGGATGAACTTCAAGCTCCTTCTCCTGGCCTGTGAGGCCTTTGGTGATCTGGTCTCTGGTCCTCTACTTCACACCTTTCTTACCATTCTGCTCAACTTCTCATAGCTTTGAGTGTCTCTCCCTCTTCCTGGAATAGCCCTGCCCTTTTTCAACTGGATCAGTATTCACTCATTCTTCCTGTGTGTTCAGAGTCTCCTCCTTCTCACGATCTCTCAAAGAGAGATAATCACCACTTCTTTCACACCGCTTTTCCTCTTACACCAGTACATTTACTCTTATACATCACTCGGTATTGAACCTTGGTCATAGATGAGCATCCCCCTCTGGATTAAAAGTTATTCAAGTGTAAGCACCACGTTGGATTCACTCTTGCCCTCCACCCCTGCCTTCCAGATAAGTGGAAGTTCCATAAATGTTTAAACAAATTAACTTGAAATTGGGTGACTCCATCATAGCCAGATTGTTTTATTTCCACGACTCCTTGTAAAGGTTGAAATTCATCCTAAAGTCTGACCACATTCCACGTCCTTGAAGAACAGTGCCTTCTAAATTTTGGCATTTGGCATGTTTGTCTCTCTGAAATGTGCTAGTGAGAACCTGTTTCATAGACACCAGTGGAGTTGATAAGCCACAATACATGTTTTAATAAATAGATTTAAAAGCATGACACTTAAAATGTTTTACTCCTTTTTGCCAATTGTAAAAGTTTACATAATAAGAAGCATTCATTCTATTATTTAACAGTAAAACAAATCTGTTTGAGAATATTCATGTGTGTATATACTCAAAAAAGTCCTGGTTCAACATCAGACATGGTAAGCCAGTCCCTCGTGCAGCACAACCAGAACAATACATACCTAGAGCACTGTTTTCAAAAGTAACAAAGTGCTCCAGACACGGATCCTGGGCACAGTGTATAGTCTGTCTGTCTGTCTCTCCCTTCCTCCATTCACACACACACACACACACAAAGAGAGAGAGAGAGAGAGAGAGAGAGAGAGAGCCTCAGACTCTGAAATTTTAAAGTTCCAAGTAGAATGCATTAATGAAAATATGAAATGCTTTTTCTTGTATAAATCATAATGAAGCTTTGAGAGATAAAGGAAGAACTAAGGGGGTGGATAATCATCTGCTGCTCCAAAACTGAAGCCTGTCATGTAAACTCCCAACTCAAACGCTTAGTTTTAAAGATTTACCTTCAAGAAACCTTAAAGCTTGYATCCCGCCTCATCGGCAACAGCCTCAAACTGTTCCCTGTCATCGAAGAAAACAAATCTTTTGCTCGTTCCTGCCTCGGGGAGGCCGAGGGACCGAGGTGGTCCTGTGTGGCTGAATTAGATGAAAGACTTGCCTTCCACCATGGAGACATGGAGTCTAATCAAGTGAAATGAGTTTTGAGATCCCAGCTCATTTCCTAGGGGAGATCAGTTCACATTACAAAATCACGACATCTCATTCATCACAGCTGACGTGGTCTTTGCTCAGGAGAGGACCCCAACTGGGACTAAACCACCTGTCTTCTCTGAAAAGGGGCACTTTATCCAAGTTAGAGTTGAAAGCCTTGGAGTGAGCAAGCATGCCAGCCACCAGCTTCCATGGTGTGGAAAGGAACTTAAGTTTAAAAGAGCAAAGCAAGTTTAAGGAAGATTGGTGGTTGTATTCTTTTTTTTTTTTTTCATTCTTCTCAAACTTTATTCAATTTGTGGTACAAAATCAAATTTTGCACTTGAATATGTTCTTTTATATCTTGGCAAAATTTCACACTTTCTTTTAGAACAACACTTCTCCCTTTGAAAACAACAGGACCTCATGATATTTCAAACACAGCTGCATTTCACACATGTATGTGCTTCTACAGGCTCAATTACCTGCAGGTATTATATCACTTAACCAAATCAATTGACTTATATTTAACTGTGAAGTAGGTAATTGTTATTGTTTACCATAAACAAGTAATTTAGTATAGTAGCCAAACTCACCCAACACATCAACTTCATACCTCTGAAAACTGATAAGAATAGCAGGAGATACATTCATTTACAAGACCTAAAAGTAGAGCCACTCTGTAAGACACTAAAGTAAGAATCAAAGTGACTTGTTTTAAAACCTGTGCCTTCAGATATGCCAAAATACAAATAATCTAATCTAATGGAGATGCCGATCCATGGTGGTAGGAGAGCCAGAATTGGGGCCTCCTTCTTCTTTATCTCCCAGATTTTATTAGAGACAAGGATAGCATTTCCTTATGTCCAGATTTAAATTAGCAAAGAAAGTGTCTTTCTTTCTTGCCAACCAATAAATGATCATTATCTCTTTTATTTCTTTCAGGGCATCGTTATCACCCCCCTGTTACTGCTGCTGTTTGTGAGTATTTTGATGTTGTCTTTAACATCTCTCATGAAAGCCGTCTACAACCCTTTAAGAGAGATTCTTAGAATAAAATTGAAGGTTGAATTCTGCACCATTTTACGTCAGAACTTGAACTGTTCCTCCAGTGGAGCTGGATCCAGGGTTACATGCCGATACAAAGAGCTCCGTAATCTTGAAACCCAAGGACAGCTTTGGTCCCAGTTATTAGGCCTCCTGACTAAATCATTCATTTCTGCAAATTAATGACCTGTGACAGAGGTCAAAAATATGCTGCTCTTTATTTTCTCATTAATAAAACTAAAGTGATTGATAGTGACCCAATGTTTGACAGAAAAGAACCGTGGGCCAGGGCCTCRGAGGAAGCTGAGGTTCCAAGGCTGGTACTGGTATCACCTAGGCTCCTCACCCTGTGGGGGGGTTGCCTTGATTTTCTTCATCTGTAGAATGGGAAACAGTAACACCTTCTCCATTTGTCTTCCAAAGGTAATGAAATGTGCTTTCGAAATTAAAAAAATAATAATAATAGTAGAAATAAAAGTAGATACAAGCCACTGGTTAACTCCATAAGAATTGTACAGAAAATAAGGAATGCTAATTAACTGTCTTATTTCTTTTGGCACTAAGCATATGAGAAATTAGATGAAAGATTATAATAGAAATTAATGTTATCTCATGCTGAGCAAAGCATATGTAATCATGAATGATACCTAAAATATTTTATGAACTGTGCATTTTTTTCATACACACATCTTCCAAATATAAATCACTCCACTTATCACTGAAATGTAGTGGGGATGTGTTTCTGGGAGTGAAATAGAGCTGTTTGACTAGCACTATTTGTCAGTGAATTGAAACTATGGGGAGAATTTATTTAATTATAGTGTAATTACCCAAGTTGGAATTCAATTAGAGTAATAGAGTGAGGGACTTCATTTCTTACCAGCTGTGTGGGAAATAGAGAGGGATATCCTACTAAACAGTTGGATTCTGCATCTTTCATGAAAGACATTACCTTCAAGTAATAAGCCACAGCCTCACCCTCCCTCCTGAAATGCCGGCTCCAATCTGAGAAGGTAAGAAGAGTCAAGTAATCAGATCACTTCCCACAGCAGAACAAACCTCATTATTTTAGACTCCACCAGTTTAGAATTTGCAGTGAGTCAAATTAAACCTAAAGTGGATATTTGCATTAATTTGGAAGAAAAGACATGTGCTTACCTACTTGCTCAAACTAGAAGTGAGGACCTGCAGATATCCATCTGTGGTGCTTTTATTTGACCAAGACTTGAGTCAATGACCTGTGACAGAGGTCAAAAATATGGTGCTCTTTATTTTCTCATTAATAAAACTAAAGTGATTGATAGTGACTCCAGTTTTCCTGGAGCTGCTCTCAGTGGGTGCAGGATACAGACCTGACTGAGCATCAAGGGACTAAGACAGAGCTGCGTATGTAGCACATGCACAATAAATGACTGCAGAGCCTAGATGTTCTGCACTGCAGGTGAATGGCATTTCTTACCCTTGAGATTCATTTAAGAGCAGGTCACAAGTTACAGCCACAACAGGTGATTGAACCCTGGGGTAATATTTTTAAGTGTTTCAGAGCCTGGAATCTCTGATACCCTGTTTCAGCTGGTGGTTGAAGTAACCAAACGAGCACCTTTCTCCCTCTCCTTCCCAACTCCCTGCCATAACAGATGTTCTCAGCTGATTACTGTTGTGGCATCACATTACTACAAGCTTTCCAACTCAGACCCATCAGCTTGTGAGCTGTAGTTCAACATTTTAAACCAATAGAGCTATAAGAATAGTGAAAGAAACTCCAAGACCCTCCCTCAACTTAAAAGTTGAATACTTCCCTTCTGAGCCAACTGGACTCTCCCAGTAGGTTTAGGAACATCATTGCACATTAATAGGTATTTAATAGGTTATATGACTTTAAATCACATGCACAGTACATACTTTTTTTTTCTGGTTAGGTCATTGTGAATTTTATAAACCATGAATTTCTTAAACATGGGGGCCACCCTAAAATACAAACATGTGCATAAAAGGTATACTGTTTTTTTCTCTGCACCGCTATTATGAGTTGAATTGTTGCCCCAAAAGAATACATTAAAGTCCTAAATTCCAATAAGTCGCAATGTGGCTTCTTTTGAAAATGAGAGACGTTGCAGGATGTAATTAGCCAAGATGAGGTCATATTGCAGTAGGATAGGCCCTTAATCCAATATGACCAGTGTCACATGAGGAGGCAAACACAGAGGGACAACTTCATGTGGCAGTGAAGGCAGGACTGCTTAGCAAGCCTCAGAATTCAGAGGTGGTGGAGGGCTCCTGCACAGACTTCAGAGGTGGCATGCTTCTGCTCAGTTTCAGACTTCAAACTCCCAGAGCTGTGAGAAAATACATTTCTGTTGTTTTATGCTTCCCAGCTTATGGGCTTTGTTACAGAAGTCCAAGAATCTAATACAACCCCTGAAGATTGTATTATTTTATCATATTTTGAAAATGGACATTTCTCATATTCAGGCCTAGTTGCCATGAAAGGCAGTATTTACTGATGGAATCTCAGGTCCCTGTATTATTAACCTCTTCTCAGAATATCTCCTTCCCTTTCTTGCTCCAACTGAAGTGTGTCTCCGATTTATGTTTCTGCCTCAAGCATGTTTCCTGTCACTGAGWCTTGAAGTGGGGTATGGTGTCTTCCTTGTGCCTCACCACAAATTCCAGGTCACTTCCCATACCTTCTGCATAAAATCCTCTGCTTCCTTTGTACGTTATGCCAGTATACCTGGTGTAGTGGTGCAGACCTGTAATCCTAGCTACCTGGGAGGCTGAGGCAGGAAGATCACAAGTTTGAGGTAACCCTGGCTCAAAACTTTTAAAAAGGGCTGGGGATGAAATTCAATTGCAAAGCACCCCTGTATTCAATTTGTGTGTGTGTGTGTGTGTGTGTGTGTGTGTGAATGCTATGCCAATACATCAGTTCCATCTGTTTCCCCTCCTTGTTGTAGTTATCAGTAATACCCAGTTCATTTTTTATCAGTCTAAAAAGGTGTTAGCATCCTCCATTGTTTTCTTCTTAACAGTGCACCAGTACTTGGTGTTTTCAGTCTTCACATATATGACCTCCTGTACTCTGGCGTCTGAGTTCTCTTCTCCAAAAAGGTTAACTTCTACTTCATCTCAGACAACTGTCCCAATAGTCAGTCCCTTGACTTTGCTACTGCTGATAAGCTTCATTCCTCTATAATCCTATTTTCAAATATCCTCTCTGTCCTGTATTCATTCATGACTTACTCTTCAAGTCAGAAATTCTTCAGACTCACTGGAATGGTGAGCTTATTTACCTTGTCACCTTTATAATTCCTTGACCCATCCCTGCCTACCCTCACCCTGATGCCCTCATATCTCATCTTAGGCAGCCCAGATCCCATGGTCCCTCAGTACAACTCCTTTATTATATGCACCATCAACAATCTTGCTCATCCCAGGGCTTAATATTTACTTGGCAAAGTACTAAGCCTGCTGCAATTCAATTCTACCTCTTCCCACATGTGTACCTGAACACCCTGACACAAATACTACCATGACACTGGTCTCATTTCAGATTCATGACAACTGACTTGTACTCATGGTACTCATGCTACCTTCCCCTAATTCATTCACTTTTCTACTTTGGAGAATTATTTCACACGTTCTCCTTGCCTCTCAAATCTCTAATGTCTCTCTTTTTGTATCAACTAATGCTGAAAGGAAATTAAATGATAAGGAAATGAGAAGCAATCAGAGAAAATTGACAAATTCCCACCTACCCTCATTCATAGTCATATTCTTTGCCACCTCTCCTGTTTTCATAGATAAACTGTTTTTACTCTCATCTAAGGCCAGTCCCTTTAGTAATGCTATCTCTTCTTGCTCACTTAGTGATATAAATCATATAGATTTCTCTTTCTTCTACATCATCAAATTTTCTCTTTCTTCTGGGTCATTTCCATTAGCATAGAAGCACTCATCTTAAAAATTAAACCTCACTTTTTTCTATCTGAASTCTATTTCTGTGCATTTTAAAAAATATTTTTTAAAGTTGTTGGTAGACCTTTATTTTATTTATTGATATGAGGTGCTGAGAATGGAACCCAGTGTGTCACACTTGTCAGACAAGTGTGCTACCACTGAGCCACAGCCTCAACCTCTCTGTGCATTCTTTATAAATTTTTATTTAAGTTGTTTAAACCGATTCATCACTTGTTCTATCTATGTATTGAATTCTCCCCCGCCCCTTCAGTATAGGAATGGAACCCAGGACCTTGCACATGCTAGCAAGCAGTCTACTACTGAGTTGCATCCCCCCATCTATATTGAGTTTTTCCTTCTCCAGGCACTTTCCTGGGAGCCACGATATAGCAATGAGCAAAAAGAGGATAAAAAAGGATGTCTCTGCTCTCATGGAAGTTACATGCAAAAAATGGAAAGAAACAGCCAAGTGGAAATGCAGTGTGGAAGGTGGATGCTAAGTGCTGCAGAGAAAATAAAGTAAGGAAGGGAAAAAAGAAATGCCAGCGTGGAGTCAGRGAGAAGGTTCTGTTTTAATTAGGATGGTCAAGTTCTGACTCTCTGTGAAAGGGATATTTGAGCAAAGACCTGGCAGAGATAAAGGAGTGAGTCTTCTGATGTCAGAGGCATGGGAGGGGCCAAATGATATAGAACCTCAAAGTCCTTTGTAAGGACTTACAATTTTAATTTGAGAGAAACGGGATATTATTAAATGGGTTTTGATCAAGGGAACTGCRTGTTCTGGCATACCTTTTAAAAGGATGATTCAGGAAAGGTGTCTCTCTTGAAATGACATTTGGCCAGACCTGTTGAAAGTGAAGGAGGGAGCCATATAGATACCCAGGGTGGGAAATCCAGGCTGAGCCAAGAGCAAATGTTAAGACTCTGAGGATGGCCAGTCCAAGTACTTCACTGGGATTGTATTAACAGGAAGC